AGTGGATTATAGAAGGTCTAAGGGTTAGAAGCTAGATCTTGCCTAATCAGGGGTGGCACCAGGATTTTCCCACGGGGGGGGGGAGGGGTCCGATGTCCCCGACGAGAGGAAAATGGGTGTGGTCCGTAGGCTTTTCCCCGAAAAGTTTTACAATTTATGGGTTTCAAGGGCTTATTTATTTGATTTTTTTTTAGAAAGAACCTACAAATTTTTTCCCCTACGAATTGTGCTGCATGTCACCCCAGCCCCCACTGGGGAAACCCCTGTGCCTGTACACCTCTCCAAATGATAATTGGGACTCTAGGGAATGTATTAAAAATGCAATGACTATCGCTTTAGATTACTATTAAAGCCGCACTTCGCATTTTCCAACTCGTCGCTCATTTTTTTCCAAATCACAGGAAAGAAACTATGGAAACACATTTGTTCCTCGGGTATATGCCCACTACCGACTTGTACATCTAGTTTCACATTATGCATTTTCCTATGTAAAGAGTGGTATACTGATTTGAATGTGTAGGTCAGAATTAAGACAGCATTAAAAAGAATCTAAATAGCCTTTAAGGCTTTTAGCGTAAAAATTATGTTTATTGACAGTGGCATGTCTAGAGGGTGCACAGGGGTAGGGGTACATGCCTCTAAAAAACTCGACATACCCCGCCACCACCCTCTCCATTGTAAATGGCAAGTAAAGCTATTAATTAAAGTTTCAATTAATAATCGAGCCCCCAATTCACGTCCACGCCCCCAATCAACCCTGAAATTTCAAAACCCCAAGATACGCCACTGTTTATAAAAAATGCTGTCAGTTTAAAGAACAATAGATTCATCCACGGGTATAAGCCCATCGACAAATTAAACTAAAGCTCGGTTTCTATACAATCACTCACCGACAGTTGTCAGGAAGGTTGAATCTGTTTCAATTCTGCCGATTGCGTTGCCGACGAATCGGGGTGAATTCCCAATCGCGTCAGGGCAACTACCAATGCATCCTGATTCGTCTACAATGCAATCGGCAAATTTGAGACAGGTTCAACATTTCCAGCGACTGTCGCCGATAGGAGGGTGAGCGATTTTATGGAAACTTATTATAATTATAGTATTATTCATTGATTTTGTTATAGGTTGGATGCAACGCTGGAGATGGCGTACGACATCACAGTGTAGAAGGATCACGGACAGAAGACATTGTAGACATCGAGAAATGGTCGAATGTTGGTGTACCAGGCAGATATATGTTTAACGTTGATGGGGAAAGTGTTGTCGGTCAAGATTGTCAGTCAGGCGAAGGTGGATGCTCACTTTTTTCTCTTCCACTATATAATGGCGATGGCGAGGCAAGTGGCCGCGCTACTAGACTTACATCGGAACTGGTTCGAGCCACTTCTTGTCCAGGGTTTGGTTGGTAAACCCAAGTCTTTTCAAATAAGAACTGAAATAAAGATCCGCGTGCACTTTGAAGATCCTATCCCATTGGATATATATATATATATATATATCTCGTATTTCATTTAATTAATCAGCCAGCTGCATTTACTTTAAAGTTGATAGATATCCGGTGGTAGTAGCAATTTTGTAAACCCTTTGCCTCTCCTCAGCCCTCTCTTCCCCGAAGGGAGGGCCGGTGCCCCCGACGAGGTGTCAGATTTGCCTGACGAAAGAAAAGTGGTCGTGTTCGAGCTTCCATTAAAAGGGGTTTCAAAGGCTTACCGTATTTAATCGATTTTAGAATGTACTAATAGGCCTATGTAAAAAATACATATAATATTTTTTCTCCCCGACGAATTGTGATTTTTCTCACCGACGGGGGAAAGCTCTCCCCGACGGGGGTGGGGGTCTGCCCCCCCCCCGCGCCACCCCTGACATGTAGCTATGATCAGCGTCTTTTCACGGCGGCTAGGTAATCAAGGACCACGCCCATATGCAATTCAACACAATAACGCTGGTAGTTATGGGTTATTCTACTTTTTTTTCCGTAATGGCAACAATGATATCAACGACAAAGATTATAATAATCATGATAAAAGTATGCTGATAATGATAATGATTAAAATTATTTTTTTCGTTCCTTAAGAATTTTTTTTTTTTGCCATAAATGCACATAGGAAATGAAAGATAACGATTTTTACATTATAAAATACATGACTCACTAACAGATACGGTAGCTGGTTCCTAACCTGTTTTAATTGGATGATTTTTTTTTCATAAAATATTTTTTTTTACGTAGAAAGAGATAATTCCGGATCGCTGATTCTCTACCCGGCCTCTGGATCCATGTTAGGTGGAAATGCAATCCTAGTCCAAGGACCGTGTTTCCAGAACACCGACAAGGTCATGTGTCGATTCATCACTGAGAATGATGCTGGACCAACGACGACGTGCCAATTTTTTGATGGTCGCACGGTGTCTTGCGTGGTACCGATCCTCCTTCGCATTGGCAGAGTGTATGTGTTTATTTCGATCGATGACGGGGAAACATTTGGCTTCCGGGGAATATACACATCAGGTAGGTATTGTATTTAGATTTGGTATTACAACGTAAAGCCTATCCAAACTATCAACATTTTAATTAAATGAAGCATGTGCCAAGCATGAATGTTTGGATCACTGTCTCTTTTGTCAGCCAGATGGTAATGGCGATTGCTTCAACGTATTGGATCCATCTCTGATTTCAGCTCTCCATTCAATTCTCCGTCCAGCCAGCTTCCTATTTGATGTAATCAATATTTCAGAGTGTTTTTGAATCGCTTTTTCTTCCCTCTGACCTTAACCACCAAATACGCTCAAAATGACATCACTTGATAGTCTGGACAGAGCTTTACTCTATCGCATGTTTCATAGAACAGTACCAGACAAATCAATACCATGCAAATGTGCTAATTTGTAAGGCGGGGTACACTATCTCAAGATTTTATTTAATTCTTGCATTGTGCAACAACTCCTCGTTCAACAATTTTGTAATGCCCTCTAACAGTTAAGATGCCTTGAAGGATGGTGCTACGATTATTTCTTTCGGGCCCGTGCAAGTAGGAATCTGAGCGGTAAATCGTTACAAACATATTGTCCTTACTCAATGATGGTGCAGTACCGGTAGTATAATTGCAAACATCCCCAAAATAAATTTCTCCCTCTAATTAAAGACCCCTCCAAATAAACACCATTTTTTTTATGGTCTCATATTAACGAATATTTATTATTCTAATTCGAGAGCAAAGCTGCTAAAGACCATGGAAACCCTAGTCCCAAAAGTGGTCTTTGACTGGAGGGAGACCTGTAGTGTGTCTAATGTTACGTCACACTTCCTCTTCAGTGAGTATTGATGACGTTACGGGAGCGATACCATATAAGGTTCGTCTGGATACGAACGGAAAATATCCCAAGGTTGTGTGGCCGAGTAATGCCTTGGACGGTAATTACTACGATATTGATATTTACGTGTTTAAAGACGGTGCAGATTTTATTGGGCTAGAAAATGGCAGAATGGTGGTGAATGATATGGCCATTGAATCACCTAATTTGGATTTGGAGTTCAATTTAACTATCCGGCTTTTATCCAACGGCAACGATGTTGGTATCATTCGTATATCACAAGGGGATGAAGAACCCGGGGAACAGAACAGGTAACAATGTCACTTTTTTTTTTCGTTTCTTCTTTGTCATACGTTTATACTATCGCGTTCAACATCCTATAA